GTTTAGGCCTAAAACCAGTCTGTCTTTCTTCTGGGTCAGAGGAGGAGTGATCTGCCTGGTGCGGTGCAGGCAGGCCCTGGTGCTGACACAGCTGCTTTTATCTCCCTGCAGATCGGGGCAATGACAACTGGCTCATCAAGTACGACTGTCCTCTGGACAGCGCGGGCGTGCGGGTGAGCAGCCCTTCCCGGGCAGGGGCTCCACGGGGGATTTTGTTCCTGCAAGCTGCCTGCCTGCCAGGCAGGCTGGGGATTTCCCAGCTGGCTTGGGTTTTGGGTGTGTGGAGGCCTGATCTTGTCTCCTGGGCCTTTTGTTGCCCTCTGCTTTGGTGGTTTGTGGCCTAGTAGGACTTTGTGAGGATGCAGCTGGGCTCTGGGGGGGAAACTGGTGTTGCTGGACCTGTGCATCCTTGGGGTGAGGCCTGACGGGGGAGAAGCTTTGTCCCCCTCCCATCTGAAGCAGACAGTGTTTTCCTGTGGGCAAGGGGCCACACTATGGGTGAGAGGCTGCTGTGCCTCTGTGGTAGCCAGGGCAAAGATCCTGGCAGCGGGGCTGCAGGAGATGGGAGAGGGACTGTTCCTGCTGGAGCTGGGGGAGGGGTGTGCTTGTTGTGACGTGCTCCACTTCCTTCCATCCAGGACAGTGACTGGGTGGTGGTGAAGGAGCCCATCATCAAGCTGGCTGCTATAGACAACGGTTTGGCCTTTCCCTTGAAACACCCGGACTCCTGGAGAGCATGTGAGTCCCTCAGGCTGTGCCAGGGCACCCTGGCGAGCCATGTGACTCTGCACTTGGGCATCCTTCTCGAGGGCTGGAGTGGAGAGGTCTAGGGCTGTCCCTCTGTGAACCTTCTGGGTTCATGGGCAGTTCCACCTCAGCAGAGGCTGTAGGAAGTGGGTGCTGTACCCTGTGTCCCAGATGCAGCTGATCTGGCACCCAGGGGCATGTGGCACCATCTTTTGCCTTCCCCAGCTCTAATGTTTCGTGCTTCCTCCCACAGATCCGTTCTACTGGGCATGGCTGCCCCAGGCCAAAATCCCTTTTTCACAGGAGATCAAGGACCTGATTCTTCCCAAGATCTCGGACCCCAACTTTGTCAAAGACCTGGAGGAAGATCTGTATGAGCTCTTCAAGGTGAGTGAGGGAGTGGGTGAGGATGGCTTGGGAGAAAGAAAAGCAGGGGTGGTGTTGGGGAGCTCCCTGTCAAGGCTGCTGGGGACAGAAAGGTGGGTGAGCTCCTGACAGCGTTTCTGGGCTGAGGCATACCAGGGTTACCCCTCTGCCAGGAGCTGAAGATTCAGTGTGGGGAGAAGGAGGAAACCCGTGGGACAGGAGGAGAGAGGCTTGCTTGGGGAATAGGCATCTCTTGCACAGTGTGGGGCAGCGGGTGGATCCCACTGTGTTCTCTGCTCTCTTTCTTGCAGAAAGACCCTGGCTTTGACAGGGGACAATTTCACAAGCAGATTGCTGTCATGAGAGGCCAGGTAAGCTGTGTGTAGGGA